GGCCTCCCAGAGAGCTAGGATTACAGGCATGAGCCACCGTGCCCGGCCAATAATACAGTTTTAAACAGGCTATTCCTGGAAATACTAGGGCTGTTATTTAAAAATCAAAAAACAAGGTTCCTGATTCCTTTTAATTACAAATAAAAAGATCAAGTAGAAAAAGAATTAAGAAAAAAAATTTTAAATTAAACTTCAGTACTTTGTATGCCATTGACCTTTTCTCCAAGGTTCATTAAAAAAAAAAAAAAACTTAAAAAATTCCAGCCATACCTGACTTTGCCGAACAAGTGAATCTCTCTGGAATAACGCTTCCACAACTGTTTTTTCACTGGCATTAAGAGCCTATTGTAAAAATTATTTAAAGGATAGAAAGAAAAAAAAAAAAAAAAAAAAAAGACTCTACATACATCTGAAGAGATTAGATGGCACTTGAAGAGGGACCTGAGCTCAAATCAAGCTTTACTTCTTCTGGGAGCCCCTCAAACTCCATGTCCACCTCCCATGTCCCAGAGGCCAGCCAGCAGGGTCTTCCTGGGGTTGCTTCTATCACAAGGATGGTGTCATAGTGTCTATGTCTCCTACGTCTCCCTACCTAACTGTGAAGTTCCTAAGGGCCAAGAACATGCATGTATCACCAGTACACTCCAGCATCTCTTGCAGGGCCTGGCACACAGTAGGTACTCACTAAATGTTTGCTAAATGAAAAGATGGCCAGGCAAAACATCCCTGGAATTGTCCAGACTCAGCGGATTCAAAGTTCGGCTACAGAGAAATCAGTGAGAACCACCTTCCGAGACAGGCTGGGTGTATGCACTGCACATTCCTGGCAAGCTTGTCCTCCGTCGCCGAAGCAGCAGGCTGCCGAGGGAGCCTACCAGGAAGAGCAGCGCAAGAGAGGAGGTAACTCAGGTCTTGTGACCACAGCCCCTAGAAGAAATGACCTTCAGTGTGGACACTGCTGCCAAAGGGCCGAGACTGGGGAACTCACATCCACTGTGGTGACTCACAATGAGCACAGGAGGAGAGGATGATGACCCACTCCACAGGTGCGACTCCGCGGCCTCGGGCTCTGCAGACTCCGAAGCCGTAGGAGGGGCTCACGATGAAGCATTTTGTAGAATCATACGTTCTCAGCCTTGGTGGAGGCCTTAAATCCCCTAGTTCACCTCCCCTGCCTCAAAGAAATGCTCGAAGTCCTACAGTATTCAACATCCCAACAAGTTCCTTGCCTCCCTCCCATGCTGGAGGGCACACTACCTACCTCATCCTTGGGCAGCTCTGACTACTAAAATGCTTTCTTACAGATTCCTGATTTCTGTCACTCAATGCCACATGTTCTCCTCCAATCTTTTATACAAAGAGTAAAGCTAACCTTGTGCACAGGACAGCCCTCCAGCTATCTAGAGGCAGTTAATACCGCCCCACCCCAGGGTTTAGAAAGATCACCACAGAAAGAGATTGCACAGGCTGCTCAATGTGAAGTTTCCTGCAGGTTAGCAAATGCTTTCCACTGATAACAGGAATCAGAGCAAAAGACGCCTGTCTTGTGCAGTAAGGGTGAACCTTGCCGAGCTGGGGGGAGTAGTAGAGGAGGCAGTCTGGACATCAAAATCCACAGAAACCCTAACGGACTTCACAGAAACCATTAAATAATGCCAGAAGGGACTTCTGAGATCAACCCAATTCCTTGTTTTACACAGGAGGAATCAAGAAGCAGAGAAATAAAATGACACAAAGGAGCCCAGCAATTAAGTGCCAGGGCCACATTCAGAAGCCTCAGAACCTGCAATCCAGTCCTCTCTGCGCGGCGCTGCCACACATCGCCCTGCTCCCAAACACTCCAGCAGTCACCCTGTGACTGCAGAACAATGTTCCCAGAGTAACAGCCACCTACAGTCTCACTTTCGCCACATCCCCAAGAGGTAAAGGGAGGAAACCTATCATTAGCTCCATTTCACAGACGGTAACTAGGAGGCACAGAGAGGTGAGGGGACTCGCTCAGGTTCCCTGGAAAATTGAATTTATTCTCGGAACTCAAAGTTCAGTTAGGACTCTTTGCTCATTGTTGAAAATGAGCTGTTGAAAGGGGCTATGGGGTATCTTCCCCTGGAGATGGACTGCCTAACTCACCGAAGGGAGTCGCCTGGCTGTGCTATTCATTTTTGCTCTTTCTTATGATTGCTGGGTGTGCCGACACAGAAAGATCTTCAAAACCACGCTCTTCTTTCCTTTCTGCCTAACTGGTGTGCTCCAAGGAAAAGAGCACCGTGGAGGGTGTCAGGAGCCTGGGCTCCTGGTGGTACCCCGACTACCTCTGTGTCCTGGGACATCTCTCCCACCACTGCAAGCTCCAGTTTCCTCATCAATAAAAATAGCGGCAATAAGTTCTACCCCAACGGTAACCGGGATGACTGAGAGCAAGCATGAGGCAGAGAGGCCACCCCCACAATAGGCGACTGTCCTCTTGCTTCTCTCACTTCCCCAGCTCCCTCACCTCCTCTGCAGCCTTGCTACCCAGAGCAGGTGAAAGGGTCACGAAGGTCTCATCCAAGCAAGGGAGGAGAAAGGAGCACACTTGTGACATCATCCCACCCAGTCCCCGACACCTGTACGTTCCAAAGAGCATCTATAGTTATTAGCATCACATTTACCACTTATTAAGTCCCACGTGCCAGGCACCACGAAAGGGTTCTTCTGCATGCTGTGGTGCTTTTCCCCACAACTATCCATTTTACAGATGACCAAACAGCCTGGGAGTTTCAGGGACAGCCAGTAAGCAGTGGAGCCAGGAGGACACCCCAGTTCTAATCCAGTCCTGTGCCCCCTAAACTTTAATGTGCTGGTCAGTCACTTGGGGCGATTCATGAATATTAGATTCTGATCCTGTCGGGCTAGACTGAGGCCTCAGCTTCTGCACTGGCAGAACCTATGTCACTGAATCTCCAAGGCTTAGCACCGGGCCTGGCCCATAGAATACACTCGACAATTATTTATGGAATGAGTCAATGAATATCTGGCTCAGAAACTCATGCTTTAGTCCTTCTCTAGATAAAGTTCCATAATGTCATCTGATCCTCACAACAAATCTCTAAGGTATGATCATTCCCATTTGACAGATAAGGAACTACAGACTCAAGGAGTAGCCTCAGGTGTTACAGCTTTTATGCAGCAGGACTGAGGCGTCTACCTTCAGATCCGTCTACCTTCAGGTCCGTCGTCCCGACCACAGGGCTCGCCCGACGGATGGGGGAGGGGAACAGTAATTACAGACCACCGGGTTGGGGAGGAGCTGACCCATCCCGGCATGCGACTGGATCACACAGCTCCAGAGGTCACCCGGGAGCCAGGCCTGGCGCCCACCGGGAGGAAAACAAGGAAGAGAGGAGGAGGAGGCAGGTGCTGGGCATGGTGCCAGGCAGCCTTGGCAGGTGGTGGGGTGACCCCGGACCCTACGGTGAGCCTCGCTGGGCCCAAGCACCCCCCACCGCGAGTCCCAGCTCTGGACACAAGCTGTCCAGCTTGGGGGTGGGAGGGTTGGAGTGTTCAGGGAAATCGCTGCCTAGCGATGAATCACCGGGCACATGACCCCGCGGAGGAGGGGAGGGTGCGGAACGGGCGCGGGATGCGGCCGGGGACACGGGGAGGGAGGCCTCGCGCCGGCCCTTCTCCCGCCGCGACCTGGGGAGCAAGTGGAAGCCCCTCTCCCACGCAGCGCCGCCTCCGGGCAACCCTCCGCGCCGGGTCCCCGAGCGCGCAAGACTCACGGCCTTCAGCTGCTCCAGCCGGTCCTTCATCCTGGCGCCCAGGCGCCCGCAGGCCGGTCGCCGGTCCCGGGTGAGCGCGTCCCAGGTGAGCGGCCGGAAGTGGCGGCCGGGCCGGGCCGCTGCGAGGGAGCTCGAGGCGCAGGCGGAGGCGGGCGGCGGCGGCTCGCGAGGAGGAGCGTCCGAGGCCACGGCAGGCTCCGCCGCGCCGCCCCCTCCGGCCCCCGCCGGCGCCGCGCGCTCCAAATCCGGCTCCCGGGCGGGCGCCGGCGCTCAGCGCTGATCCGCCCGCCGACCCGCCCCTCACCTGGGCCGCGCCCCGCGCTCCTCCTTAAAGGGCCCGCGCCCGGCCCCCGCCGCCGGGGCGTCTCTAGCTCCCGCCCCCTAACTCGAGGTCCCCCAGGGGACCGGCAGGGCCGCGTGCAGGCTCGGGCACTGGCAGATCCTGCCGCAGGGCGGAGGACAGCGAGGGGCTCTGTCTGGCCCCGGTTTCATCTTTTCTGCTGGACAGCCTGCACTATGTGTCCCGGGCGCGGTGCTAGGATCCAGCCCTGCGACGGACTCGTTGCTAGGCGGGGACAATGTCCCGAAACAAATAACTCTCAATGCGGTTTGTGCTACAGTGGGCAGGAGGGAAATGTCCGGCAGATACTCCGCCTTGGGGAAGGGCATTCGAGTAACGGAATCCGCGCAGGCGGGGGCTGCCTGGCGATGGGGGTGCAAGAGGGTGTCCAAGAGGCAGTAACTGGAGGTGAGGCGGGTGGGTCCGGCTGGGGCGAGGAATTTGGCCATAGGGATCCCTCTGAGAAATGCAAGCCGTTCAATGTTGAAGTCAGACACCTGCCACTAACTGTATAATTTGGGGAAAGCCGTTTCTCAAGAGGACTCCGTTTCCATGTCTGTAAATCGCAGATAATACCCACTTCGCAGCTTGCCGTGAAGCCTGTGAGAGAGGAGGAGCGATTGGTTCGTAACCTAAGACAGGGCTGTAAAATAAAGGTGTTTGCATTGGAACACTTAATCCCGTCTCATTTCCCTAGTGGTGCGGAGATGCCCAAGTACACTGTACCATCCGGAAAGGTGGGCGGGTTCCTTTCACTGCCCCTCACTCTTTATCCCCGTCTTCTCCTTTCTCTTCCTCTCTTTCCCCTTCCCTGTTTGTCTTCCTGGGAACAAGTGGCATATCCAGCAGGACGGAGCTCAATAAATAGGACGGACAAGCCGAAGAGTTAATTCTCAAGTTAGGAAAAGAATCTGCGGTATACGTTCAGGTTTAAAGCCTGTAAATATCTTCGTAGTTCTAACAGGACTTTGCCCTTTTGTGCCCTTTGTGCTCCATGCTGACTTCATCGGCTCCCATAAAGATACGCTCTGTATGGCAGAGGTCGGGTTGTTTGAATGGCCCTGCGGTGCTCGGCCCTAATCCTCTCCCACGCCCTGCACACTTCCTTCTGTGTGGCTTCCGCGCCCCCTGGTGGTCATAACTGGACAAGGCGAGTCGATCAGAAACTATACTGTACCGTCTCCTTCCCCTAAAACCTTGTGAGCAGGATAGCTAGGTTCTGCACTTCGGGAGAGCAGAGTGTCCTCAGGAAGACAGAGATAGGAACAACTTTTTAAGTTAGAAGTCTGCAAGGGACCACAGGGGTCTGGACTAAGAAATTGTTTCTATAGCAGGAATCGAGGGTAGCCTTTCAGCCTCTGCTGAGGCAGAAGTTTTCTGTTGAAGGATAATTGTTTTTAAAAGACTAAAATCATGACTCTCGTACTAATATAAAATGAACGCACATCAAATATTTTATTTAATTCATTAATTAATGAGGGAATCAGGAAGGGGTTAAACCTGTCCAGAGGAGAACCCAAAGAGCAGACACTTATACAGGCAATCAGGAATATTGAAATGAATACGTTAATAAATGCAAAACTGGCTTTGGTTGGCAGGAGAGAGCAATGGCACTGTCACCAGACAAAATTCGTTTGCATCTCTATGGACAAGAATCATTTGCATTACTATCAATTTTCTACAACTTACGGAGTTGGAAGTTAGCTGCAATACCTTAAAATGCACAATTATAAAATCATATGACCCAGAAAGGTGCATTAGACATGGCCTAGCATGACACAGTACACCCAGTAATCTTTTTTTTTCTTTTTTGGCCATTTTAATTTTTTCAGTTTTTCCAGATACTCCCAAGGTAGCACCTTCCACAGTCGAACAGTTCCAACTGTGTTAAAAAGTTCTTAGTTACACAGAACAAAAATTTTCCTCCCTATAACTCCCACCATTATTTCTTATTGCCTTTGTCCAAATATTTAAGAAATATAATCTGTCCTTCACAAGATGAGCTTTCCAAGAAGGCAGAGTTGCTATGGGGCACCAGAACAATTGCTGGACACATAGCCAGGAGGCCTGAGTTCTAGACACAACTCTGTCACAAAATTGCTGTCGTTCGACATCATACAATCTGTTTTATCATCTGTCAAGTAAGAAGACTGATCAAAACTAATGATTCCCAAACTTTTCAAGGTCGAGAATATCACATATGCATTGTTTTTATTCATGGACCTCTTCTTTGGAAAGATTCCATATTCCTAACAAAATAGATTCACTAGGTAATAAGAAATTTGGCTTCCTATGAGAGGATGTTTCCCTGAGGGAAAAAATGACCTTTTGGTTAGCCTGTATGGCCATAACAGAAATGACTATATGATTTCCCTTAAACTTTTAAACATTGAGAACAGCACAAAGAGACATCTTTTCAAAAGAAAAAAAAAATCCCTCAATTGCAATTGGAATCCAGAAACCAGAAAGGAAGCATCACAGAGTTTTTTTTATCATGGCATTCTATAATATTTCAAGGTAGATATTACAGACTTAAATTCTTCTTTAAAACTCCTATTAGCTATGTGCCTGAATTGTTAATTTTATATTGGTATTCACTTTTCCTTGTCAGACTGAAGTCTGGATTCCATCTGCCAGTCGTGTACAAGAAACTGAAGAAAGTCAAGTTACCACAGGACAAGGGACCTGCAGGAGGGGAGTCCATGGGCTGGTGAGGAAGACAGTCGTGTTGAACCAAGTGGACTATAGGGTCTGCAAGCAGGTAGACAATGACTTAAGATTCCCAGCTCAGTAGGAGCCCCTTCTCTCTGAGTTATAGATAGATAGAAAGACAGATAGATAGGTATTTCTTTCTGCCCCATTGGTGGTACTTGGTTTCCCAGCGACTAGGTCTAGTACAGCTATTTGTTTCCCCATTAAACAAACTTAGGACTAATTCAAGTGTTTGCATTTTGATTATAAATAAATCAGCCAACACTCAATTTCACCTTTACAAACAAACCAAAGAGAGAATCATGAGATTTCGGGGCTCCACTTCCCTCTCTCCCCTCCCTCTGAGCCTATTTCTTTCCAACTAGAATAAAGGACTGAACTTTACTCCATCTTGACTTCCAGGAGCTGCTGTGGGACAGGGGAGACCACTTTCTGGCTGGTGCACCTTGAGGCATTTCCAGGGTGTGATGTTCAGTAGCAAGAGATAAAGGGATCTAGAGAATTGAAGAGGAAGACTCTTTCTGTTCCCTCTTAGTAACACTTGCCTGCTGCAGGGAGGACGGAGAATGGAGAATAACCTTTCTGGCTTGTAGCTCTCTATTGCTGCATAACAACACACCCTAAAACCTAGCAACTTGAAACGACAAATATTTATTATCTCACAGCTTCTGAGATTTGGGCATCCAGGTGCAGCTTCACTGGATGCTTCTGTCTCAAGGTGCTACGGTTTGAATGTATCCCCTTCAAAATCCAGGTGTTGCCAATGTGATAGTAGTAAGAGCAGGGGCATTTAAAAGGTGATTAGGCCAAGATGAGTTCCCCCTCGTGGATGGGACTAAGTACCCTTATTAAAGGGCTTGATGGGGGAATTTGGCTTGCCTGCCCTTCTGCCTTCTGCCACGTGAGGACGCAGCAAGAAGGCCCTCACCAGACAGCAGATGCCGGCACCTTGATCAGACTTCGCAACCTCCAGAACTGTGAGAGAATAAATTTCTGTTCTTTATAAATTACCCAGTGTCAGGTATTCTTTTATAGCAGCACAAAATGGATTAAGACACAAGGTCTGTCACAAGACTGTAATTAATGCGTCAGCTGGGGCTGTAGTCTCATCTCAAGACTCAGCTGGAGAGTGACCTGCTTCCAAGGTCACTCACGTGGCAAATGTTGTTGACAGGATTCAGTTTCTCAAAGCTGTTGGACTAAGAGCCTCAGTTCCCTGCCATGTTGGCCTCGCCATAGGGTAGCTCATGTCCTGATACCTGCTTCCATCAGAGCAAGAAGTGAGACGGATGGAAGCCAAAGTGGTTTGTATCCTACCTCATCCCATCTCATCTTGTATTAATCTCAGATGTGACATCCCATCTCTTTCGCTGTATTCTCTTCATTAGAAGTGAGTCAATAGGTTCAGTCCACACTCAAAGTGAAGGTATTACACTCTTGACATGTGTTCAAAGAGTAAAGACCAGGACCCATCTCAGCGGCCACCTGGCACACAGTTCAAGTCCCAGATTAATGCCAGACGCATGCTATTTCACCTTCTTAGAGCTATGCATGCTATTTCGCCTTCTTAGAGCTCTCTTCTCCCCCACATCCAGCCTGGACAGCTCCTACCCATTCTCCAGGTCTCAGAGTAGATGCTTCCTTTGGAAAGCACCTCACACTCCAGGACTGACTTATGCATTTCTCCAATGTGCCTCTATGACACTCTAGAATTCTCCATCATAGCCCCTACCATGCTACATAAGTACCCAGATGCTTGTCTGACTCATGCACCTTCTGTAAGTTCTGTGAGGACAGCAGCCTTGTCTCCCCTCTTCACTGATGTGAACCCAACCTCAGCATAGGGCCAAAATGTGCTAGGCATTTGGTAAATATTAACTAAATTTATTAAATAAATCTTCTCGTAATATGGCTCTTTTATGTCTTTCTCCTGATTAAAACCCATCAGTGGCTTCTCATTACAAGGAGTAGGAAGTCCAGACTCTTCTTAGAATGGCATTCAAGGCTTTGCCCAATCTAGCCCAGCCTTACATACTGTCACTCCCTGACACCATCAGCCTCACCAAACAACCATGTCTTCTCTGAACCTAATTCATCCCTTCATGATTTCCCAATTCCCTCTGCCTGATATGTCTTTCTTCAGTGTCATGTCTGGCAAATCCTGCTCCTCCTTCAAGACTGAAGCC